AAAAAAAAAAAAAAAAAGACAAAAAACAGAGACACAGTAAAACAAAGCTATGCATATACTCCATGCCTGTGGAAAGCAGCTATGGGTGAAAGAAAAATACAGAAAGGCCAGGCACTGTGCCTCACACCTGTAATCCCAGCACTCTGGGAGGTCAAGGCAGGAGGAATCCTTGACCCCAGGAGTTCAAGACTGCCTGAGCTACAATCATGCCATTACACTCCAATCTGGGTAAGAGAGCCAGACCCTGTCTCAAACATAAACACACACACACACACACATCCACGTTTAATTTTAGCTAACCAAAGATATCATCCAAAGTTACTAGCAAATGGCAAAACAGCAGTATCTCTTAAACTATTTCCAAACTCCAGTAGTAGTCTGTAAACAATATCAGCCAAAGAGAAGCAGTACATGGAAAAAAAAAAAAAAAAAAAAGATAATGTTCAAATCGAATTAATAAAATAAAATCCTAAAGAAAGTAGTAAGTATAGCACAGTGCTGAGTAATGTGCTCTGGAGTCGGACTGCTTGAACATTTATTTGGTCAAGATGACAATTCTAACTAAGTTAATTTTCTCCCAGTCTCCACCTCCCTAAATTCTCATTTTCTCATCCATACCACAGTGACTATAATAGTACTTTCCTCAAGGGATTAAGAATTAAGTAAAATATGCCACGTAAATTACACAGCAAAACATATGACACCATCGTCACCTATAAATGTTGGCCACTATTATTTTTAGACCTACTATTTAGAAAAGGAGAAAAAAGGAAAATATAAAGAGTAGGGAAGATAAAAGAAAATGTGGTGTGACTTTTGGGGAAAAACAGTAGTCCAGCAATAGTTCCAATTACTAACAGGTGGAACTATTTATTTAAATCTCCAGAAAATAAAATACTGAAAATAATCTGTCGAAATGTTCAAGTAAATGTGTCCTTGAAGAACTGTTCACAAATGTTATGGACTATTTACAGATTAAATTTAATTGTTAAAAACTCTGATCTCGGCTGGGCATGGTGGCTCACGCCTGTAATCGCAGCACTTTGGGAGGCAAAGGCAGGCAGATCACTTGATCTGGAGTTTGAGTCGGGAGTTTGAGACCAGACTGACCAACATGGAGAAACCCTGTCTCTACTAAAAAAAAAATACTGAAAATTTAGCCAGGCACGGCAGCACATGCCTGTAATCCCAGCTAATCGGGAGGCTGAAGCAGGAGAATCGCTTGAACCCGGGAGGCAGAGGTTGTAGTGATCTGAGGTCGCACCATTGCACTCTTGCCTGGGCAACAAGAGGGAAACTCCATCTTAAAAATAATTATCCCTGGAATAATCTTTATCCTGACACTACTGCTTAAGGTAACAAATTCAGTAACGGCAATTTAGAAGAAAAGAAGGCCGGCGTAGTGGCTCATGCCTGTAATCCCAGCACTTTGGGAGGCCAAGGCAGGCAAATCACCTGAGGTCAGGAGTTCAAGACCAGCCTGACCAACATGGTGAAACCCCGGCTGTACTAAAAATACAAAAAAGTAGCCGGCTGTGGTGGCAGGCACCTATAATCCCAGCTACTTGGGAGGCTGAGGCAGGAGAATCACTTGAACATAGGCGGAGGTTGCAGTGAGCAGAGTGCATCACTGCACTCCAGCCTGGGCGCAACAGAGTCAGACTCCATCTCAAAAAAAAAAAAGAACAATCACAAATAATAATTGCTATATGGTTTCCTACAAATAATGATCATTTGATTCCAGTTCAACTTCTTAATCATATTTAAGATGCAGTCTTAGACAAGTGACTAGAAAAGTCATTGAATTGAGGAATGCACAACATACAGACTCTCCCAAATGCAGGGGTGAGTAGAATCTTCTCACGAATTTTATAAATCAAGGCAGACATTTAGAATTACTACATACAAGTCTGACAGAGAAAACACATAATACCTCGCCTATTATGACAAAGGGAATTACTGAACTCTCTAATATCAATTTCACAGAAGAAAAATGCTCTATTTTACACTACCACCTCTTTGGCTCTATTGCTACCAGAATTTCAACAGTTAAAGCAAAAAAGAAAAAAATTCAAAATAAGCAACTGACAAGTTACTATGTTAGACCACCCTGGCAAAGGTTCAAAATTATAATCTTGGCCAGGCGCAGTGGCTCACACCTTTAATCCCAGAACACTGGGAGGCCAAGGCAGGGTGATCACCTGAGGTCAGGAGTTTGAGACCAATCTGACTAACATGGAGAAGCCCTGACAAAAACACAGAATTAGCCGGATGTGGTGGCGAAATGCCTGTAACCCCAGCTACTGGGGAGGCTGAGGCAGGAGAATCACTTGAACCCAGGAGGCAGAGGCTGCGATGAGCAGAGATCGTGCCATTGCACTCCAGCCTGGGCAACAAGAATAAAACTGCATCCCCCAAAAAAATTAAAAATTACAATCTTTCATCTCAGAAAGATAATTAATTGAAATACACCGCAATTTTAGTTATACTGATGTGTTCACTAGTATTAATTGCTTAAAATTTAAATTTTGTCATTAGAGGAAAATAAATTTTAGTGTATCTCTTTAAAAAACACTCCTGAATGCCTGTGATTCACTGAAAAATTAAATGTCGTAATTAATGGTAACTGAAAACACCACTTAATCCTGAAAAATACAAACACTAAAGATAACTCTCCCACCTGTCAAAACAATTTCTATAATAGCAATTAATATTCACAACATTTTTTTAAAAAAGCTTTGTTTATAAACTTAGGTCACCATTACCACTTGAGTGAAAAAAAAAATGTATATTCATATTTTTTAAAGTTATTTTAAAGGTTCTTAATTTAGTTGCTCAGTTCCTCTCAGCTTCTGGTCCTGGTAATACCCTCTTTTTTGGAAAGTAATGTCTTAAGGAATAATTTGAAATACAAAACCATTTCAACAAACTGTTTCAAAAGCTTAATTTCGATAATGGATTAATATGTTAGGAACAGTTATGCCTTAAAACAAGCTGGTTCATGAAATACATTAAAAGCCACTACCTGTAACATAACCAACTATGTGACTCCAAATGCAACACTACATTGCATTTGGAATGCAGGCTAAAATCATATTTGAAAAGTAAACTGGCTAACAAGACATGTATATTTAGAAGGCAAATTGGCTAGGAAGACACGTGGTGAATTATTTGTTGGATTTTTTTCTACCTTTCTACCACTATGAATGAATCATCAAAGCCGAAGGCGAATACTGGCCATATGAATTTAGCTTTTTACTTAAAAAGCACAAAAACTTGTCGCTTAGGACTGTTTCAATCTGAAATATTCCTAAGCCTTAAATGTTTTTTCTGAATTTCAGTTTACTCAGACAATGGTTAACAGTTGTTTTCAAACTGTCCAGGAAACTGAAACCAAGCAATACTCTTGCAAGAAACTGAAAGGCTTCCAAGAATAACATAGGATAAACTCGACTCTTATTACAAATGAACATTTGATTTGCTCACCATAATAGTACTTACAAATTCCAACAGGACTGCACAGGAAGGTGTTGGTTTTTTCTCTGTAATCTTTATGTTTTCCAGTTTGTATTTTTATTTTGTATCCTCTGAAATAATATCGAAGTTCTTTGAAGATATTTAACCTACGACTATTTGACATAGAGTTACTTCAAGTCAGCTACCCATACTTCTGTTTTAAAGTTTTCATATGGCTATTTCCCGAATTAGCCAAGTTCTTTAGATTTAAGATCAGTCTTCTGTATTATTCCATGTACTTGCCACTGCTGTACTTGTCCACTCTAGATGAAATATCCAATTTATGAGCCAAAAAGCAGAAACAAAAAGAAAATTTCACATCTGAAGAGCATTCCTAAACATCAGCATTTACAGAGACATACATAGCTATCTCAATACTACCATGCTGTTGGGAAACTGCAACATCTTAAATTTCCACGTAAATAAAAGATAAAAGGAAAAAAACTGTGGATTCTTTCAATGTCTTCATTTAGAAAAAGTGTCCCATTGTGACATGACAGGGCTGAAGTCAAAAATTCCTAAAACTTTCAATAAAGGTAAAAATAAACTGCCATGAAACTTCAGCAATACTGTGATTTGAAACTGCTGCAACTACTCAGTACACAAATCAACGTCTCTCACAGTTTCGGCTGAAGAACCCCAACAACGGAGTGGGGGAGGGGAAAGGCAAAAAAAAAAATCAGCAGCTGAAATACTGTAACCAGTTATATAATCCGTTTGAACCAAAATACTGAAGAAATGCTGCCTGGGTCTCTTTTTAAGTGGCTTGCTGAATTGTTCACTACTATCAATTCACTTCATAGACGATTCTTGACAATTTTAATAAACTTCTGGGGCAAAATTATCCAAAAACATTGTAAATCCAAAATGGCCACTTAAAATATCCGGGGCCTTTTACACAAAACCTAGAAGATGATCTTCATATCTGAGTAATTCAATCACCTGTAAAAGTTGCAAAAACAATTATATGTTGAGTTTTGATTCTGAGCTAAAAAAAATCAATACCCACCTTAAAAACTCAACCTCTGGAAAGAAAATCACTTCTGTACAACCCTGCAGGAGGGAAAAGCGCTTTGCCCAAGCAAGCACCCGATAAAAGTCTACTGAATGAACAAGACATCGGAGTAGAGGGAGGGAAAAACGGTAGGCGACGGTATTATGGAGGGCAAGGGCTGATTTCACCTGGGAAGGGGTGTAGACCCAATATTGTGGGATTATATAAGCAAACCTTCTTACACCTCTTAAATAAATATTAAAACTATGAAACTGGCACACAATCTTACAAAAGACCTTCTGCAACCCTATTCGATGTACCAAAGGAAAACCAAGAGACAGGTGTGCTGCCACGGAGCATTAGTAAACGTAACTCAGAGAATGAGAAGTATAGAGACGCTCCCTCCAAATCAGAACGTCTCCAAGAGGAGGCATATTTCCCCCAGGAAGGCCAGTAAGGTGAACGAGAAGTAGGGCAAACCCGCTTCTTAAATGCTCCTAAGGAGACTTCCCCATCTCTGAGGGAGCAGGGGACTAAAAGGTGTAGGTTCCCACTTCCTCGAATACAGAAAACAGATTTATTCCCCCAAACTGTGGGGGTGGAAGGTACCGGGCCCTTTTCATAAACCACAGAAAGGTTCTTTCTCAAAATAACCCAGGTCCCCCTCAGACCCTTGGAGAAACAAAGTAGCCTTCGCCCCAGTCCAAGGCAAGTGCCACGGACCCGGGAGAGGCGGGGAAAGCTGAGGCGCTGCTAAAGAAACCGCCGAAGGCCACAACTCGGCCTCGGCTCCCTCAGCCCTGAGAGGGGTAGTGGTGCAAACGCGGGCGAGCGTGTGCGAGAGCCTGGGGGGAAGGAAGGCCGAGCACCGAGGGCGTCGGACCCGCTCCCAGCCTCCGCCAAACGCCAAACACCCCCCCACCCAGCCGCCAGGGCTAAGCCACCCACCCCCTCCTCACAACCGCCACCTCCGCTCCACCCGGGCTGAGTCAATAGCTACCGGGGCCTATCTGCGCCTCCCTCCCCTCACTCCCTGCTCCCCGCCGCCCCTCCGTCCGCGGGCAGCCTCATACCTCGCGCCGCCAACGCCGCTCCCGACCCCTCAAACCCCAACACGGACACGGGCACCCCCCTCCTCCCCCGGACTCGGGCGTGGAGCCTAGAGGACGCTGTTACCTTCTGCCGCACCAGAGGTGCCCCTGGCCTGGGGGTGCCGCCGCGCTCGATCCCGGGAGAAGGTTTTCGGTACTTTGAATAATCCCCTTTTGCCGCTTTTCCCTCCCCCACAACCAGTCTCAGTCCCAAAATGGCGCCGACCCGATCCGCAATGTTCTGGGCCAAGTCTCGCGAGATCGTGGAAGGTGGCGAGGCGGGGAAGGAACTAGAGGGGTTGAGGAGACCGGGGAAAGGCGGGGCGCGGAGAAGGAGGGAGAGAGGGTGTGGAAGAAGCGGTGCGAACGAACCTACTGGGCGGGACAGCAGGAAGAGCGCCTCCACCAGAGACCCTTCTGGCCCAAGTAACCGCTCACGCCGCGATCAAAGAAGCTCCGCCCTCTACGTCGGGTGCCTGGGGGGAGGGGGAAAAGGCGTGGCTCTGCCTGGGGGCGGGGCTTCAAGGAAGCCCCGGAGCAGGGGCGCGCGGGGGGCGGTGGCTCCGCGCGGTGACGTCAGGAGCAGCTGGAGTCGGGGATTACCCCCTGCTGCTGACGTGAGGACGGTGAACAATCCGGAACGTTCGGTGAAAGGGGGAATTCCCCGCCGCTCCCTGAGGAGCCCCTCCTCCCGCACTTCCCCCCGCCCGGACTGCCTCAGAGCCCGGGCTGGTGGGGCCACGGGGAGGGCGAGAGGGGGGTGCTGCGCCGGGAGGCCGCCGCGCGGGCTCGGGTGGCGCGCGCCGCAGCATCTTCCCCCCAGTCTAAGCTCCCGAAGCCGCGCTGCAGCTCCTCCGAGCTTCGAGCTGCGGAAGACGCTGCGGCGAGCGCCCCTGGCCGGGTACCGCACTCGGGCCTGGGTGAATCTGCGCTCACACGGCGCCTGTGCCCAGCCGTGCACCGGCGGAACGTCGGCCAGGCCGGCGCCGAAGCGATCGGGCGAGCCGAGGGGAAGCTCCACCGTGGCAGGCGAACGCGGACTGTGTCTGGCATGAGAGGTGCACACGGGAGGCCTGCAGCGGAGGAAAGCCGACCTGCTGGGAGCCCAACCCAGACTCTCTGAGGGTAGAAATGGCTGCTAGATATAATCGTGCTATTTTTCTTTCTACTACTTCTCCACGTAGGCGAATTATTTCGACGGCCAGAGTCTCAGACCACCACATAGCCCATTCGAGTCTCTAAAATAATCAATGATATTCACAGTTGTTTCTCTAATTGTGACACCTTTTCGCCTTATAACCAACCGTAGCCTCCCTTTAAAACCTGGGAAGTTGGCATTTCAGGAGAAAGGAAAGTCACATTTGTTTAGAGGGAAGGTGTGGGGACGTTGTCTCCAAGAGGGAAAGTCTGGAAAATAAAAAATATTTGGATTCTGGCTCTCCCCTAAGCCACGAGGACTTCGTAACGTAGAAACTTCATGGTATTGGTACATGCATTATGGGGTTTGTAGTTTAATGGAATGTTTCTAAGAGATACCTGAAAAACTGGTGGAATGTAAACTCACCAAAATTTACTGTCCCCAACCTTTTGTTTTAATCTTTATCGGGAGTTGGCCACTTTGAGCAATTAATAATGCTCCTCTGGGGAGCAAAGGAAAGGGAATTAACACTTGCTGGATGCCTTGCCCAAGCCAGGCTTTTTAATCCTTATATCACCCTCTGAGGTGGGTACTATTTTGCTCAGTTTGCAGGTAAGGAAACTGGTTGGGATTGACGTATTTAACTTAAAAAATATGGAAGTTGGGTGTCACAACTTGGCTGCACCATTTAAACTCAAGTCCGTTAGGGGTTTGATCCACTTTCTTTTCTCTACACCGCATTGTTTCCATAGAAGCAACTATGTATTAGGAGAGGACCTGTTCGTGCTTTTATTTGTAAGTATGATGTCAACCCAAGAAAAAATAAAGGAAACAAAACAAGGATAAAACTGCTATCTTGGACCCACAATTTGTGCCTTTCATGTGACAGAAGACACTGTAAAGTCGAACAACTAATAGTGAAACAGAAACAATTGTAATATATCACAAGCAAGTTAATATATATATATATATATTCAGTTATTAGCTTTAGTGTATATTTTATTTGCATAATAAAATGTAAAGAGCTCTTACAAATTATTAAGGAAAAGATATCCAACACCCATTCTTAAAAAGTTAAGGGCAGGCCAGGCACGTTGGCTCACGCTCGTAATCCCAACACTTCAGGAGGCTGAGGCAGGAGGATCACTTGAGGTCAGGCGACCAGCACTGCAAAACCCCCTCTCTACTAAAAATACAAAAATTAGCTGGGCGTTGTGGCAGGCTCCTGTAGTCCCAGCTACTCCGGAGGTGCGATCTTGGTTCACTGCAATTTCTGCCTCCTGGGTTCAAGTAATTCTCATACCTCAGTCTCCACTGCACTCCAGCCTGGGTGACAGAGGAGACCTTGTCTCAATACAGAGTCAGCCAGGCACAGTGGCTCACGCCTGTAATCCCAGCACTTGGGGAGGCCAAAGCCGGTGGATCACATGAGGTTGGGAGTTTCAGACCAGCCTGACCAACATGGAGAAATAAAATTACTAAAAATACAAAATTAGGCTGGATGCAGTGGCTCACAGCTCTAATCTCAGCACTTTGGGAGGCTGAGGTAGACGGATCACCTGAGGTCAGGAGTTCAAGACCAGCCTCACCAACATAGTGAAACCTCATCTCTACTAAAAATACAAAAATTAGCTGGGCATGGTGGCACACAGCTGTAATCCCAGCTATTCGGGGGGCTGAGGCATGAGTATTGCTTGAAACTGGGAGACGGAGGTTGCAGTGAGCTGAGATTGTGCCACTGCATTCCAGCCTGGGCGACAGAGTGAGACTCAGTCTCAAAGAAAAAAAACAAACAAAAAATACCAAATTATCCGGACATGATGTCGCATGCCTGTAATCCCAGCTACTCAGGAAGCTGAGGCAGAAAAATTGCTTGAACCCAAGAGGCGGAGGTTGCCATATGCCAAGATGGTTGCAGTGTGCTGAGGTGGTGCCATTACACTCCAGCCTGGGCAACAAGAGTGAAACTCCATGTTGGAAATGGGTTCTCGGTATTACAAAAAGGATCAACACTGAGACAAAGGGGCCAGTTTTACTTTATGCAGAAAGAGTGGCCCCTGATAGCAGTCTTGCCACAAGAGCATGACAGTACACTTGGACAAAGAAGTCAGGATTATTTATAATCTGACATGTCCACCCTGCTGCTGTGTCTGGTTTCCATTGGCTGGAATGGGACCTCACATTCTATACTTGACCCCATTGGCTAACAGCTTAAGACTTTCCTAAATAGGCTAGGGAAAAAGAGAACAAAGAAAAAGGAAGTTGTTCACTAGATGATCAGGGAAGTGCTTCCAAACAAGGAATGGCATGAACTATGGGTTGGGACTTGCCCAGGCCTGTCGAGGCTTGCCTAAGTAGGCTAAAGCAGCTAACTGGAAAAGTATAGGGGCTTTTAGGGGATAATAGTGGATAGAGAATTTTGGAGTGAGAAATTATTACCCCTTCAGACCTTAAGATGGAAACTTCGAAGAAGAATTTTTCTACTTCTCACACTCCATCTCAAAAAAAGAAAAAATACAAAACATTAGCCGAGCATGCTGGTTGGCGCCTCTAGTCCCAGCTACTCGGGAGTCTGAACCAGGAAAATCACTTGAACCTGGTGTAAGGCTGGTTGCCTCGCGGGGAGTTTGAACACACCCATCTCCCTTCCCGCTTGAAAATTACGTTATCAGAATATGCCCATCATCTTGCTCTGCCTTGGAAATCCCCTCTGCACTGGGCACCTAACCCCACCCTTGGAAATCCCCTCTGCCCTCGGCACTTAGCCCACTCACCGGAAATCCCACCTACCTACCTACCAATAGCAGCTCACCCTGTCCACACCCTGTTTCTCCAAATCCAATCAAACGCCTTCCCTCCCTATAAAACCCCACTCCAGAGAGGAGTCAGGCGCTACTTCCCTGGCCCCTCTCTCTGGGACCACAGAACCTCATCCGGGAGCTGAATAAATTGGCATCTAATTTTCTTGTGCTGGCCTCAGTTTCCTCGTTTTTAACTCGGCAATAAACCTACAGAGAATAAACTTTACACCTGGGAGGTGGAGGTTGCAGTGAGCCAAGATCACACCATTGCACATTGACAGTGTGAGACTCTGTCTCAAAAAAAAAGAAAAGGATATAAGGACTAGGCACTTATTTACATTAACCATATCAAGAATGAAACTCTTAGGCCGGGCGCGGTGGCTCAAGCCTGTAATCCCAGCACTTTGGGAGACCGAGGTGGGTGGATCACAAGGTCAAGAGATCGAGACCATCCTGGTCAACATGGTGAAACCCCATCTCCACTAAAAATACAAAAAAAATTAGCTGGTCATGATGGTGCGTGCCTGTAATCCCAGCTACTCAGGAGGCTGAGGCAGGAGAATTGCCTGAACCCAGGAGGCGGAGGTTACCGTGAGCCGAGATCGCGCCATTGCACTCCAGCCTGGGTAACATGAGTGAAACTCCGTCTCAAAAAAAAAGAATGAAACTCTTGATATGAGCATGCCTTTCTGGAAGATAATTTTGCTTTCATAAAAATGTTACAGCCTTTAAGATACCGTTTAAGCAGTTATTTTACATCTTGGAATTTATTTTAATAAAATAATAGGAAAGGTGTCCAAGAATTTATGAAGCTGTTCATTGATAACTTGTTTAAAATCTGACACGAAAAATAGGCTGGTCCAAGTACAGTGGTGTTTTCAACTAATTAATCACAACTGGTTACAGATTTTTTTGTTCCTTCTCCACTCCAAGTGTTTCACTTGACTAGCCTTAAAAAAAAAAAAAGAAGAAAACCACACACAAAAAAAGAGAAACAACCTAAATGTCTATAAATAAAAAAAATTGACAAAGTAAATTATATTACATCCATAGAGTGGAATATGAAGCCATTAACAATACTTATAAAAAGATGGTCACATGAAAAGATGCTTACAACATACTATTAAGAAAAATGGGCCAGGCACAGAGGCTCACGCCTGTAATCCCAACGCTTTGGGAGATCAAGGCGGGCGGATCACGAGGTCAGGAGTTCAAGACCAGCCTGATCAACATGCTGAAACCCTGTCTCTACTAAAAATACAATAATTAGCCAGGCATGGTGGTGTGGGCCTGTAATCCCAGCTACTCAGGAGGCTGAGGCAAGAGAATCACTTGAATCCGGGGGGCGGAGGTTGCAGTGAGCCAAGATCAAGCAACTGCACTCCAGCCTGGGTGACAAAGCAAAAC